ATCTGTGGCAGACACCCTTAAAGATCATGGGATGTCCCTCCTACAGGCAACACGACTTGCTGCAGACAGACACCTGTGTCTCCCCGCGACACCCCAGGGTACAAGCGGAAGAAAAAAGTAAAGTAAGTAAGTGACTGTAAACTCTTCAAAGAGGTTATAAATAAATAGAACTAGAGGTCTTAGCTATGACGTCACGCGTGTCAAACTTGAGGGGCGAGCCGCCATTCCTGAGAGGAATAAAAGACCAGTCTGTTCGCAGCTACACTTTTCAATCACGGATTACTGATACTCTTGGTGGTATTCAGATGTTGATTTCTCTTTCATGTCATTTGCCTATGCTAAAATGTGCCCATAGGGATTTTTGTGATTGTTTACCTTTAAATGAGCAAGATTTTCTCCAAATAATGCAAATAGCGCCTTTTACACGGTGTGACCATACGGGGGATTAAATTCAGAAAAAAATGAATTAGATGGACTTGATGATCACTTGTTGAAACAAAAAAACATAGTTTTATTAAAATCTTTTGCTGTGCGTCGCTCAAACAGTATGTCTAGATTTAGCACCGCTGACCACAACAAGGAGCTCGTATCATGTAGAAGCTTCAGCTGCAACTCTAGCACACATTCAAGACTGACTGAACGGAAAAGAACCCCTGTCGATGTTGTTGAGATGAGAGAATATAAAGTAGTCACCCAGGCGTAACTACCCACCAATAAGACCGGTGTAGTATTCTGTCTCATTTGCGAAACTGATGCCAAACAGCATTTACAGCAGCAGCTGGGGTTCGTGGAAGATGGGGTGTTGAGTAACCAAACACCATTGCTAATTAACGCCAATTTTAGAAAATGTTGTGAATGTTAGAGATAAATCGGCTAGTGTTGCATTTTAAAATATTGTCAGTATATATAATCATTTGTGCCCGATATTAAACAATGCTCTTTGGGTGTGCACCAGAGAGTTTACAGTAATAGTGTAAACCCTCTCTGGTGTGCATACTGGATCCATACAATGAGTGATTAACAGTATCCCAGCCTACAATTAATTGCTCATTTTGAGACAATAACAATAATTTTGAGACATTGTATCTAAAACAGCTTTTGACACCCTATGTGCCTCCTAGAACGCTCAGATCATCAAGTGACAAAACAACCCTTGTTAAGCCTAAAATAAATTACAAATCATATGGCCAACGCTCTTTTTCATATTTTGCCCCACTTGTTTGGAATAGGCTTCCAAAAACTATCAGAAAAGCAGAAAATCTAGAAATTTTTAAGAAGAAACTAAAAGCATTCCTATTTTCATCATATTTCGATTAGACAGAATCCACCCAAGCTGTAGATCGTTGTGAGTTTGTATGTGCGTATGTGCATATGTACGTATGTGTGTATGTGTGTATGTATGTGTGTGTGGGGCGTGTTTGCATGAGTATGTAACACTATGTACTTTTAAAATTGATTTGTAAATCCATAATATGTATCATGTTAAGCGCATAGAGCATTGCATAAGTGAATATGTGCAATATAAATGCAATCCATTATTATTATTATTATTATTATTATTATTATTATTATTATTATTATTATTATTATTATTATTATTATTATTATTATTATTATTATTATTATTATTATTATTATTATTATTATTATTATTATTATTATTATTATTATTATTATTATTATTATTATTATTATTATTATTATTATTAATAACGAATTAATATACATGTATTAAATAATGAACTCAGTCTTAACCCTCTTCATACTCTATGAAGACCTAGATCTTTCGGCTTTGCATCAGTAGAAGAAGAGTGTAGACAACGGGACATAAAAGCAATTTATAAATTATTTTATAAGTATTATGAAATCGTCCTTTTTCTTAACTAACTCAACTATTCACTTTGTCTCCACCGCTCCTCCCCCACCCCACCCGGGAAAAACAAACAATACTTCCTATTATATCTCTCTGTTCGATCAATGTAGCCCCTATATAAGTGCATTTATGCTTCCCACAATCCGTTAGCAGGTGCAGAGGCCTATTGTGTATGCGTCTATATTAGATGATTAAACAATAGTAAACCAAAAGAAAATCTAAAATAAAACGGAACGGTGCTTCAAACTCCAAGAAGACCTAGGCGTTGTGAGGGACTCGCTGCTTGACAGCGCTGTTTCTAATCCTCTAAAAAATGACGACAAAGCGAGTTGAGTGGGCCCAGAGAGTTTGGTGGGCCCCGCACAGCCATAGCGAGTTTACGTAGGTGACGTCACAGCTGTGACCTCTAGTACTATAATAACCTCTTTGAAACTCTCTCATTGTACTCTGAAAATGGGTCATGACGTCAGGTCTCTCGTGACTTCCTCGTCCTGGCCTATTGTACATTGCCGAATAGAACTTTAAAAATATTATTACAGTCATTTTGCATTATATGTACAGTCAAGATAATGATTGTTCCCATATCATTTAGCGGTAAAGCTATCATTTTCTTTATCTTTACATTTTCTATGGTATACCTATTCATTGGGATATCTAAGCTCATAGGGGCTGTTTATTGTAAAGGGGCATGCTTCAATTTATTCACCGGTCTCGTCTAGAAAATCCCGACATATTTAGAATCATCCCTGAAAGAAAACAATTCACTGGCTGCTCACAGGCATTAGGCACCGTCGATTCAACTTCCCGATCTTAAGTATTTCGTTTGTTATCCCAGGAAATCACATATCGTTTTGATAATTCATTAGCGAAGAGCCTGTATCGTCAGGCTACTTACTTTCTTTCAAAATGAGGGCTTTCTGTCTTACATTGGTTCTTTTGTACTCGATCGTTGTGGTGGCTGCGAGTTTCCAAGTTGTTGAAATGTCTAGAGGCAGAAGGCCTGTAGATCTAGTCGGGGGCAAAGGGCTGCTTGGAGGATTTTCTTACCAGAATTACGGGTTGCTTGGTGGTACTGCCCAGAAAGATGTAGACAAGGCAGCTGCGGAAGCGGTTGAAGCTATGAACAACGTGAAGAGTGAGGGTCATAGTAGTAATACTATGCCGCTGCTTTTGACAGGAGTTGGACGAAATGTTGGGACAAAGGTGAAGTACTTACCTAAAGTTTGCCTAAAGTCTTTAAAATACTAAGTCTAAAAGATAGATCTAGAATCTAGATGTAGATCTTCCTTATCATTTCGTTTTTCTCTAGAGTCTAATCTAGATCTAGAATCAAGTAATGATATAAATATTGGGGAAGCTCTGTTTTTCATTTGATGTCCATCATCATCATCATTGTCTTTTGGAAGAGGCTAGCCGTACTTAATGACGGCTAGACTGGCAGTCTAGCCGTACTTAAGTACGGCTAGACTCGCAGTCTAGTCGTACTTATTCTTAACGAAGTGACTATTTCTCCGAACGTTCGGAGAAATAGTGCCCATCTTTATTTCTCCGAACGGTTTCCGGCTTCCGGTCTCGTGATGTTTTGCCTATTTATTGCGAGAGTTAGGCGCCAACTTTCATTCTGCCTCTGGTCTGGGGGAAGGAACACCGCATGGAAAGCCCGCCTACAGACAACCTTCAGTAAAACCCACCACACACCCACCACCATCATGCACATGTACACACACAAACTTATACACACACAAACTAAACAAACACGACCAATGGACAACTTTTGAACGTATGACGAGCTGAGCTGTGGATGGAGAGACAGTGTGAGTGAAAGAGCGGGTTAAAGGAAGAATGTGCAAGTGTATCCACACCCGACAGCAACTACAAGACGACGACACCGACCCCCCTGGCCTGGTCCACAGCTCACGAACGAAAATAATGCAGCTTAGGCAGTGTTTTGCCTATATTATTGTCCATGGTTCGCAGGGTGCAAGGGAATGAGTGAGATTTTCTTTGTGTATGCCTGGAGGGAGGGGGTGGGGTGTGAAAGCCATGCGGACGGGGATGAGCCGCGGGAGAGAACACGGGAATTGAATGAATGAGTGAAACTGAAAAAGATGAACGACTCGTGAGCCCTAGAGTGAATGGATCCTGTGTTTCTATTTGTGTATACTTTGAACTGTTACTGAATGAAGGCTGAAATAAAGCCCGAAAAACAAACACACACACACTCACTCTCCACTTACACACTTACTATCACACACAGACACACTCACACACGCACATACATACACACACACACACACACACACACACACACACACACACACACACACACACACACACACACAGGAGCAAATTTTTGGGTCTATATTTATTTCAATTTTCAAGAGCTAGTCTAGAGATTTTTAGATGAGTGTAAAAACGTGAAAAAGAAATGTTTCACAACAGAATGAAATCAAAATTAGAACAGCCCATGATAAACAACAAACATTAACAAATAAGGGTGTGTGTCCACCTGTCCGAAGAAGATTGGCTGTTTTAACCCTAAATGTGAGTAATTTTTTTTTTTTTAAGGAGAGGATATTACATGTAAATTATGGAATCACACACCTTAAGGGGCCTGCCAGTGTCGGTACATTATTGGTCGTGGCAGTGACCACCGCAGATGCCAGTTCTAATAGTTCTATGTGTCGTTATCAATAACCCTCCGTAGATCTAGATCTAGACAGCACACGAGTGAACACAACACATTACGTTTAAGAGCAGCACCCTTCATAGGCAACTCGTCATATCTGTAGCGAAAAACTGTTTGGAATTGTAGCATTCTTTATATAAATATTTACTGCGGACATTTTTTGGACCGCTTGAACCATATTGTATACGAACAATCTTTGGTAGGCCTATACTATAATTATAGATCTATATAATATCCGAAATTTGCGGGAAAGGATGTGATTTCAGAGTGTTCGGAGAAATAGTGCCCAGCTTTATTTTCCCGAACGTTCGGAGAAATAGTGCCTAGCTTTATTTTCCCGAACGTTCGGAGAAATAGTGCCTAGCTTTATTTTCCCGAACGTTCGGAGAAATAGTGCCTAGCTTTATTTTCCCTAACGTTCGGAGAAATAGTGCCGGCCTATTCTTAATATGATGGCTAGACTGACCATTTACAAAGAATAGGCTTACTGAATTGTAAATATACACTTTTAGTGTTCAGTACCTAAAGTATTTGTGTATTTGAGACGAAACCAGGTGCCTTAATGACAGTGCATGTACATGTATTTTAAACCTCCTGTTTTCTAATGTTAATAGGGCCTAAGATAAGTACGGCTAGACTTCTTGTCTAGCCGTACTTAAGTACGGGTAGACAGCCAGGCTAGCCGTACTTAAGGAATTTTTAGTTTGCAATGCCTAAAGTATTTGTATTTCAGACAAAACCAAAAGGTGCTTTACTGACATGCATGTATTTGAACCTGAATAATTACTAGATCTAGACCTAGATCTAATGAGACCTGTGTACTTAACAGGCTTGAGTCGATAGGGCCAAACCTAGATCTAAGTACGGCTAGCCACTTCGTTGTCTTTTTCACCCTGGATCAGGATATTATATAGATCTAGGCCACGAACAAACACTTTCCACCTTTCCCTATCCTGGGCGAGTCGCTTCATGTCTCTCCATATCGATCCATTTCCGTGACTCTTTTCCAGGTTCCACGTGGTCTTCCCCTTGATCTTTTACCCAGCGGGTTCCAATCTACTTTCCTTGTTCTGAAGCTGCTTGATTTCCTGAAAGTGTGTCCAATCCATCGCCAACGCCTTCTTCCCACCTCATCTCTGACTGGGTTCTGTCTCGTTCTTCTTAATACTTCCTTGTTAGTGATCATGTCTGTCCATCTGATCCTCAGTAGCTTCCTCAGATAGATACTTGTTCAAGAAAACCTGGATCCTCTTTATGCACGTCCGAGATGCGTTCCATGTCTCACGTCCATACAATGGGATTGACTTCACTTTTGAGTTGGAAATCCTCAACTTTGCTCGTAGTGAGATATCCCTGGTCCTCCATATCCTGTTCAGAGAAATAAATGCAGTCTGTGCCTTTCCAATATGGGACTTTATTTCAGTGCCTGTTCCTCCCTCTCTGTCAATATACTCCCAAGATAGCAGAAGGATTTGGTGCCTTCTAGTGCATTTCCTTCTACTGTGACCTGTTCCTTTCGTAGTGCATCTTCAGAACTTTTGACTTTCCAGGTGTGGATCCTCAATCCACACAAACAGACTCTGATAGTGATAGGCTGTTTAAAATTGTGGTCTTTGCTTGCATCTACTCCTGAGTGTGTGACAGAAGTGCCAAGTCTATAACATCCAGATCGTCCAAGTGTGTCCATGGGGTCCAGTCTATGCCATTTCTGTGTCCTCTAGTGGTTTCCTTCATCAGCCAGTCGAGTACCAAGATAAAGAGGAAAGGTGATAGTAGACATCCCTGTCTCACACCGGTCTTGATGTCAAAGCTCCAGAAAGTTGACGATCAACTGGGAGTTCCACTCCAGGGACTGTTCCACAATGATCCTCAGTGTTGCAATCTGGTCCATGGTTGACCGATTTTTCCGAAATCCAGCCAGTTCATCCCGAAATCTTGGATCCATTGCGGTCCTGATCAGGGGCGGTTTGTTAACTAGGCAAATTTTTTTCAGCTGGACTGTTGACAGGAGATTTATTGCTGATGATGATTTTCATTCAGTTTTAAGTAAATCCAAACAAACATGTATCAACATTCAAAAGCACCTTGCCGATTTGAAGCGCTCAAATAGACAAGTGGGATTCACTGCAGTTTATTTGTCGCGACAGAGCCTCATTCCTTCAAGTTTGTTATCGCGCCGGCTCATAACTTTAAATTGTCTCCCCTCCCATCAAGCCGTCACGTCGCGGAACTTCGTAGGCTACTACGTACGAGGCCAAACACACGGCGGGTTTAGGCCTAGCGATAATGTCAGTCCCCTCATGGACAAATCCATCGACAGCCCTCAGAAGGAATAGGGCATCCCTTAATTGCCAAATTGGCGTCTTTGTAGCTTACAAAATTAAGATTGAGACTGTCTTGAGCAGCACAGACACATGTATTATTTTATAAGCCAAACATGTATTTTTTTATCATTCAGCCTTTCTCTAACTACTATCAGAACATTTATTGTTAGCATGGCACTAATCTTTTTTGTTTATCGACTTTTTAACCACCTATAGTTCCTGTTTGACATTTACTCATCGTTTTCGCCCCACTAATAACTTACCTGGCCCATAGATAGGAGTCGGGCTGGCGGAAGGAAGAATTGTCTAGTGAAGATATATTAAGGAGAATTTAAACGAGGAGCGATAAGCACTCGGCTGTCAAGAGTCTGGGCCAGGCCTACCCCCTCCCTTCCCTCCCCTTTTCCACCGTCACCCCAGCTAGACACCAAGTTCTATAATTAGCATTTTGACACACTTCCCCACTTTGTTACAACACAGTGTTCTGTTGTGAGAAGTGAGAAGTGCGATGAAGAAAATTTGATGATATAATGATCGACGATCGGAAACTGTTGTGTGCTAACTTTGCCCAGCTTTGTATACTATCTTAATTGTAGACTTGATCTGCTTGGGACAGCGTCACTGGTACAATATCAATTGACTTTTTGTCATCATACAGGACAGTTCTTATTACATATATTTAACGGGTCCAGTGCACGTGGATATTTTGTGTGGGGGTGTAGAAAGTACGAGTAAAGTGCTGAAGGCCAGGACCAGCAGTTTATTGCCTCTCACTTTCAGTTTGTTTTGTGGCCTAGTTGTGTTTCTTTTTCTGTGCCGATCAAGTCAGTTTCTATTAATCTCAGTAACTTCCATCTTACGTTATTCATTATATTGTTTCTTGACACTACCGCATATTTTAGCTCTTTCACATTATATTACAATGTTTACAGTGATGTGTGTGTGAGTGGGGGAAGGGGTGGGGATGGCGAAAGTAGGGGTATAAAATAAGGAGAGAGAGAGAGAGAGAGAGAGAGAGAGAGAGAGAGAGAGAGAGAGAGAGAGAGAGAGAGAGAGAGAGAGAGAGAGAGAGAGAGAGAGAGAGAGAGAGAGAGAGAGAGAGGGAGAGAGAGAGAGAGAGACAGGGAGAGAGGGAGAGAGAGAGAGAGAGAGAGAGAGAGAGAGAGAGAGAGAGAGAGAGAGAGAGAAATAGTCGATATGAATGACGGCCGGTCAGTTCTATAAACCATGAGCCGCCACTGGTCCTGATTCTCTCCAGAATGATTCTGTTGAAGACCTCACCTGGTATTGAGAGAAGAGTGATTCCTCGGTAGTTGCTACAGTCGCTGAGATCCCCCTTTTAAGGAAGTTTCTCAAGGTGTCCTTCTTTCCAATCCTTTGGGAACTTGCTCTCATTCCAGATCCTTGTAAATAATGGGAGAAGGAGGTCTGCCGTCACTTTGGCATCTCTGTTTTTAGGGCCTCAGGTGGAATCTGATCAGGATCGGCCGCTTTACCCTTTGTTCAGCTTCTTAATGGCATCCATAATTTCTTTTTTCGATGGAGCATCACAGCAGACTGGTAACTCATTTTTTGCTGGCAGGATGTTTGGCGGGTTACTTGGTGGAGGTCTGTTCAGGAGACTGTTGAGTTTCCTTTCCAAAAATGGTTTTTCACTCTTGGTCCTTTATTGTTACTTCTGGATTCCCATATTTTCCAGAAAGAGTCTTTGCAGTCTGCTTCCTCCTCTGCCCTCCCTTTCATGAATTCCTCCTTGTCTTTTCTTAGTGATCTTTTTACATCTTTAGCTGTTGTCCTGTACTGCTCCAATGCGTCCGCTTTTGATCCCCTTCTTGTTCTACTTGTATTTTTGTCTCCGTTTTCAATTGTCTTCTAGTGCTAATCAAATCCAATGACCGTTGGCTAATCCATTCCTTGTGCTCCAATTTCTTCTTGCCGAGTATTTCTTGACATGTTGAAGTTCTTTGACCTTGGTCCAGTGCATCTCCACCTCTATGTCCTCCTCACCGAGATTCACCAAGGGTTGAAATCTGTTCCTGAACTGCAGCTGACACTCCTCTTTCTTGTGTCCATCTAAGTGACTTAATTGGAACTTCGTTCTTTTGGTTCCAGTTCTGGTTCCGTGCTTTTTGAGACGAAGCTTGAGTTTTGCTAACAGCAGATGATGATCTGATCCAACGTCTACCTCTCTCTGTACTGATACATCTTCCAGTGAACGCCTGAACCTACGTCACGTGACGTGAGATACAAAAATGATCGATCTGGTTCTCTGTCACTCCATCCAGTGATACCCATGTAGCCTTGTGGATCCTCTTGTGGGGAAAAACAGAGCCTCCAATGACAAAACTGTTGAAAGTACAGATATTTGCAAATCGCTCACCGTTCTCATTCATTTGTCCCAAGCCATGTTGTCCCATGATTTCCTCATAACCTACGTTGTCCTGACCAATCTTGGCATTAGCATCTCCCATTATGATGTTGACATTCTTCTTTGGTAGTTTGTCGATGACCCCCTGGAGGCAGCTGTAAAAAACATCCTTGTCTTCATCCAAGGCTTCATTTGTTGGGGTGTAGATTTGAATTATGTTCATGTTGATGCTCTTATTCCTTGTAGTGATTGAAGCCATGATGATCCTCTCCCTCCATGGTTCCCATCCTCAAAGTGACTTCTGTGCATACTTACTCATAGTAATTCCAACCCCCTCCTCATGGTGCTTGTCTTCCCTCCCAGAATACAATATTTATTCCCCCGAGCTGAGCTGCTTCTGTTTAGACTGTATCCAGTGGGTTTCGCTGACTCCTAGTATGTGCACCTGTATCTCTTCATCTCTTGTGCCACTTGAGAACTCTTTCTTGCTTCGTACGTGGTGCGAACATTCCTCGACGCAATCCGGATAGACTTGCTTTCACAGAGAAGGTTTCGGGTCGGAAAAGTCCGTTGGGCTTTGTCCGCTGTCCTTCATTGTTTCTGCTGATACAGAAGCTCCTCCGTCTCCCAAGATGGAAAAATAATAAGGCTTGTTTGTTATTGTTTCTTTAACTTTCCGTTTTTTACTGGGTCGGGTAGTTGACCCTCCGCAAACTGGCACTTTTCGGGCGACCAGACCTATGCACCTTTAGTCGCCTCTTACGACATGCAGTATCATGGCAGGTGTATTCTTTGCTCCCCCATAGTAAAACTATAGGGCCCCTCACCTACAGGGGCGATGAATTTGATGTCCAATACTATAATAATTTAAGGAAAAATCGAACCTAATCTACACACAACTTGAATGTGACATCAGGGATATCATTGTAGATCTAGTTAGTGAGCCTCAGCCACAAGCAAAATTATGAAAGAATTGAATAATTAATTTTGGGAGGACTTCCGCAGAGGGCCGGTACTTACTGTGACAAAGTCCACTGAGCAAACTATACAAGAGTTAAGGTTAGGGTTACAGGTTTGGGCTAAGGTTAGGCTGTGGTTATTTGTACAATAGTGCATACAGAGTTATTTGTACAACTATTCGAATTTTGGCTGTTGTTGGAATAAATAAGCGCATAGAGCCTGTTGTTGAGCGGGGATATGCGCTATACAAATGCCATATTATTTATTATTATTATTATTATTATTAAGTACGGGTAGCCTAACAGTCTAGCGGTCAGTAATAAGTACAATTCAGTATTTTTTACTTTTTGTCAGTCGAGCCATCATAATTAAGTGTACGATTAGCCTGCCAGTCTAGCCGTACTTAAGGGAAGACCCGGGTCGGCGATCCAAGGCAATATCAATACAATTTTTCAAGCAATCCAACTTTTGTTTTTTGCGGAATCATCCTTTGACATCTGTTCTATCGAGTCAAAATGAAGAAACTGTTTAAAAAACACCCTGAATGACCTAAAAGGGCGTTTGAAAAGTGCAAATTGCTCTAAAAATCCTTTAAAAAATCCCTGTTTTTTTCTGTTTTTCTCAAAATCTACTTTTTGACAAATGTGACCTCCTGGGTGCAAGGAGTTTTCAAAAACTACACAAGCTAGAAGCTTCAAATTTGTTGTACATGTGCTTTAATATCGATTCTGGGGATCTATGAAAGGGAATTGAGAAATATTGGTAACTTCAGGAAATATTCATTATTTTTGTAATATGTACCCCAAAATTTCGTCAACTGACTCTAGGGGGTCCAATGACTTTGGGCTCACTTTTTTAGTTTTAAAGATAAGTCAAAATCCTTACATGGATCCTCAGTTCATATAGGTTTGTACTTGTGTACCAAATTTCAGGCTGATAATTCAATATTTACTATGAAATTCTTCTGCACTAAGAAACTGGTTTGAAAATCCAAGACGGCTGCCACAGAGACCCATTTTTCAGAAAAATTCATCAAATTCACCCCTAGTACATCCTATTTACCTATGAACTTCTTGCAAAATTACATGAAATTGAATAAAAAGTCATTCGTTTAGAAAATTTTTCTGGGAGTATACGTCTCCCCTTAAGTGCAACTAGCCTAGCCGTCTAATCATCATTAAGGGTGGCTAGACCGGCGTCCTTAAGTACGGCTAGCCTCTTCCTATAATTATTCTCCCAGAATGAAGGAAGAATTGACTCTACTCTATTTAGTCTTTGCTTCGATTTTCTTAACAATCAACAAAGTTTATTTTTGATTTTGTTTCCAGGTCGTTGCCGGGATTGTTTATGACCTGCAGCTGAGTCTTAACATTGATGGACAGGTATGTGAAACTGTGCTTTAAAGCACAGGTATATTTTATTACCAGTCTTATGAATAAATCCCTGCTTGTTTGGAAAGAAGAAAGAATGATGGAAAAATTTGTCCATATGTCAACATAATAGTATGAGTATGTCAGAACATGTTTCTTTGATACTATAGTTTAGTCTCCGCCTAAGATTCCATCGTATTTGATCCCATTTTGTTTAAAATTCCTCAGTTATAATTAAGAAAAAAGAATTTTTTACTGCATGAAAATCACCCAAAGATCCCGCTCTGTAGGTACTTATTCAGCCTTAAAAGAGTCTGCATTTCAGATCATTTATATAACAATAACCTGGGCGCATGCAGCTGATCAACTAAGCAGTGGAAATTTACGATCATCATACTACCCATCTTGTCACAGATTATCTACTCTTGTGAATGTGATAACATCTCAGTTGTAAATCTTGATGTATTGGTACAATTGAAAAGTTTCCCAACAAAATATATGACATTCATTTTTCTTGTTTTGAGAAAAATGAAGATTTCTTTTCTTGACCCATTTACTGAATAATTTTGAGCAACTTTGGTTTTGGAGTAAACATGATGTCAGTCTTTGTTGATATTTATTTTCTGATGTAATCTATAGCTATGCTGAATTTTTATCCTTTAAATCGATGAGGTACCCACATGTTTTTGACAAAACATGACAAATGCACACTACAATGTCTCTTTCTGCAGTTCTCTAAAGAGGAAAAATCCAAATTGACTCTGAAATGTGCCTCATTTTTGTAGATTCTATATGATTGTACTAGTTTTGGCCAAACTTTGATAGTGCTGTTTGTCACATTTTGACACCATACTTTTCAATTTTATCCCAGATGGGATCACCCTGAAGTGTGAACTCATCTACGCGTTTTTTTTTTCTCATAACATTGTTGCATCTGAGCCTACAACCTGAAGTTACATCACACACTGGGTGGGTAAGGAACAAACGTCCACATCAGACATGACCATATTGGTGCTTTTGTTTCTCTGACCATCACCCGAATTTGTTTGACAGAATGGCACCTTGACCTTGGCACTATCCGATTGCCGGTGCATAATGTGGTCATCTGTTGACAGTTGGCCTACCTTCCGTTTGGCAAATTTTTATTTGTCCAATCACAACACAGTGGTGCTATACATTTTCAGGGAACTCTGTCAGAGATGGAAAGCTATTTTTTTTGGACAGGTTAAAGGCATGAGCAATAGAATCGGCATAGTTTTTTGGATGTGCAGTTGTAATATATATATATATAAAAGTGAAAATGGCATGCCTCATCAAATTAATGAAGAGATCATTGTGATTAGTCATCTGGGTAACCATTCTTTGTTTGCCATAAGTCATAACTTATAAGTTATAAGCCCAGCTAGGGATAACGTCAGTTCATTTCAAAGTAAGGGGAGATTACTTCACTGATTGTGGGGCTGACCTTGAATCACTGTGGATTTTGGATTCCCCCCCCGGTCCAATCATTCATTTAACCAATAGAAGCCCCTGTTCACTGAAGATCCTGCATTTTCCTTCCTCCTTAGCAAGAGCTCTTGATGCTGAGACTACTATAGAGTAATATCAATGATTAATAAAAGGTCTGATATCCCTAACTGATTAGTAAATATTATCATGGCAGTTTGTATATATAATGCTTAGATTATTTTTTTTTAGCTTTCTAGTTGTTTGTGATTTTTGAAAGATTTGAAGTTCTGGCAAATCTGCATGTTTTTCAAAGAAGTATGGTGATGTATTGTTTATTCTGTGGAGGGCTAGCCATATGTACTTCATTACTACATGCAGGGCAGAAATTCGACCTGAGTTTAAGATAGTGATTAGGAGCACTTCATCAAGTTCAATTTCATGTTGGAAATGGAAAGAGAATGGGACAGTCTGATCAGATCTAAATGTAGAATATTTTCAGCATTTGGCAAGAATGTGATCTGTTTTTGTATTGTATATGAAGTTTCTTTCTTGTCATAAAATGAGTAGTGTTCATTTATTGATTTTGAGAAACTTGTGGTTTCCACCCATTATTGACCTGAAAGCCTTTCTTAAAAAATCCCCCCCCCCCTTTATTTTGCCATTTTATCCTCAAACTACTGTCTTGGTTGTTTTGATGTTTTTCTATCTAATAAAATGGACACAATTGTATTTTTTTGTCAGGCTAAGGTGTGCCATGTTGAAGTGACACATCTGTACCCATGGTTAAACGAAGGAACGTGGTCTGTGAAAACAAAGACAGAATCCGATCCATGTGTAGAGTATGAAACTCCGGAGAAGACCTCAGCGAGAAGGAAGAGGTCACTGCTTGGAGGTCAAGAAGAGTCTGGAGTTGAGGAGATGGAAACTCAAAAAGCTGCTATGTGGGCGGTAGATCACATCAACCAAATGAGCAACTCCCTGTACAGACACGCCTTGCTGCACATCTCTCATGTCACAAAGCAGGTGGGTCGCCTGGGATTATTTATGTAATGGTAACCTCAAAGCAGGATGGTTAGCAGGTTGTCACTTGTCAGTATTTTGAAAGTTATCAAACAGTTTGGTTGTCAGCTTGTCAATCTCAATATCTATCAATTCTTAAGGAGATGGATAATCAAGACCTGTTGAAAAAGGAGTGAAGCAATGATCTAAAAGGTTTATATGGGGAGACTTTGATCAGATTGCTTCTGATGGGTTAATTGTGTAGGACATTTTCTGTTGTGAAGATGGCACCTGGACTTTCACCACTGCTCTTCCCAATCCCTCAATAGAAATAATAAGACTCCCATCATACAGATCAGTAAAATGTTGGTGTCCCACTGCTTATTTGTCCCATGATTTAACTTGTAAAAAGTTGGTTTCCTTACTGCATCTTCTATTAAAAAGATGTGATGGCCTGAAACTGTAACTACATCTCTCATCTGTCGGCCTTCGACAAAAAGGATAATGATGATAGGCTATGTTACAGTAATGATACCAGGTTTGCTATTCTCGAGAACAAGGCAAGTTCTGTGAGGACTGTGAGAAGAGACTTGTTACATGATGGTGTTTTGTTTCCCGGCAGGTCATCAATGGCTATCGTTACCGTATTTCCCTGACCACAGTGCCCACCAGTTGTCGCAACAATGGAAAAAACAACCACAAGACACTGAAGGAGTGCCCTGCAAAGGATGGCGGAAAGGTAAAGAACCCTTTAATCTTTTGTTGCGAACATTAGACTTGCTTGTGGAATTTCGAAAGTGAATGTGACTGCCTAGATAAACCATATCATATATAATTTTTTGTAATATATGGACTTCTGAAATTTTCTCAAATCCAAATATTTTCTGGAATTTTAGAATTTTAGGAGTCAGTGATTCAATAAAATTAGGAGTAGAGCTTTGAGAACCAATAATATCTTTTATTTTTAAGTTGAAGAACAAAAATTGAAGTTTTAAGAAACTAATTTAAGAATGTTTTCCTTTTCTATTTTAGGCCCAGAACTGTGAAGTGTCTGTCATTTTCAGTCTCGGGAAGTATTCGATGGAGTCCTTCAAGTGTGAAGCGGTAAGTGAGGCCAACTTGTCCTAGAGCTGTATTTTTCTTGTTTATTTTAATTTTATATCAGTCATAACTCATGAGAGTCCCCTTCTAGTCTGGCTTAGTGTACTTTACTTTTCTGTGATGCCTTTTGAAACAGTGCTGGCTCCAGTGTGTTGTCTTTCATTTTCCTCTCCTCTTACTATTTGGGTCTGTTATTTCCCTTGTGATTTTTGCTTTGCTTTCTATATTTTGAAAAGATACACTTAGGGAGGAAATCATTCAGTACTCATGTGCTGGGGAAAAGTATATTTACTCTTAAGAACATTCTAGTAGATTGTACCGAATTTACGGATACACGTTTAGGATACTAAATATATATATACATCTGTTAATATATTTTAGGATGTTGTTAAGCTAAGGAAGATCCCTGATTTTTATCAAAGGAATTGGTTTGACTGGAAAAATACAGATTTTCAAAGTGTACCCATATTATACAGTAGAACATGACCACAGCGGCAACCGCTACAGCGGGACCATCCCTACAGCAGGACTTTACCGAAATCCTTGGGGTTTTTTTTTTCGATGTAAACTCAATTACCTGTGCTTGGGTTTAGCCGGGCAAGGAAAAGCCCGTACTTGGATACAGCGGGAGAGATTGAGCAAGCTCTAGTTGGAGGAAAGGAGGTTGGGGGGCTGTAGGCGGGCTCCAAACAGGCTGTCAGCGATGCGGCTTTGTGATTGGCCAGTCAATGATGAGTGAGGTGGGGCATGTGGCAGAGAGAGATGGTGCGGAGAGATGCATTACGTGAGCCACTCCAAAAGTGAATTGCCATAGCGTAGACACTCAGTATGAGAGCGTATAAGCCATTGCCTCAGGCCTAGGCTAGGCCAAAGAATAAAAGAAAAGGAGAGCATGTAGTGTGTATTGTTGATTCATTGAATTGCGATTGTCGATGCTCAGGCATACGTACGCATGCACTTTACCAGTTCTACAGCTGGCCTACCGGAATGATAGAAAACGCAAGCAACAAGACCAAGGAAAAGATGGCTTCCAACAAAGACCAAAGGAAATGCTTCTCACTTGAATTTAAGGCCGAGATAATCAACAGAGTTAACAAAAAAAGAAAGACTAGTCAAGAGTGCAAATGTTATCGATAGGGAAGAGAGGTAATCATATGGATTTTTATAAATTCTTCGGTAATTCCTCTTTGCATTGCTATTGGGGGAACTCACCTACAACGGGATTTTTCTTCTGGAACCAAAAGTCCTGCTATAGCCGTGTTCTACTGTACAATGTGATAATACTTTAAAGAAGCTCAAAATATTATAGTGTCTACTGATCGGAGTTTAGAAGTGTAATGATAAGGCTACTTGAGAGATTTTAAAGTTTTGGGATTTGAGGCTCATGTCGGTCTGACTTTGTGTCTCTGGGAAAGTCACTCTACACAAATTTTTTTATTTGGCTCAGTCCTGTTGGAGATGGACCTTAAATTTGCCGGTCCCACCTCTTGAGTCATGTCTTACAGTGTTGCAAGGAGTGTTAAATCTATTCGATTTCATATATATTTTAAGAATGTTATAAATATTTGTCCATCATTTTATTGATGATAGGAAATCTGTTTGTGGTTCTTTAATAATAAAATAATGTCGATAGGGCTGTAAATTATATAATTTAAAAAGGGAAATAACATTGTGAAATACAAATGAGAGGGACCCTGTAGCTTGTTCACTTTCGTCTGACCTCGGTTAAAACGGGATAAAAACAAATCGCTCTGCTTAATCTTTATGGGTCTTTGCTTGCGGGTCTAAAAGTTAAGCGACCAACAGAATCTAAAAGCCCATTCATAAAAGTCACTGCAAACTAAGGTTCCAACCGGTGTCTTTGATGTAAGCCTGTACTGGGTTAAAAAAATAAAGGGGATTTACAGCATAAAAAGAAACACGATTCAAGAGACAGGGTGAGTATTTTTTTAGACTCATATGGAGCATGTGGAGGGGGATGAAATCTACCATCTTACACTGAAATGTAGGGGCACGGCGGTGTTGCTGTCTCAAAATGAGCAATTTGTTGGCAAGGCTACTGTAAGTCATTTATTTTAGTGATCCTGTGTTTGCATCCAAAGAGCAGTTCTTAATATAGGGCCCAAAGAGAAATACTTTTTTATTACCGGGTCAAGATTAAAAAAGAAAAAATTTTGTATGGTTGCTGGCCTGCAGAAGTAGATCTAATATGTAAAGTTTCGTGGGCATAGGTAAATTCATGAATGAGCTAGAATTTTTTTAACGCGGTCAGACGAAGTGAACAAGCTATAGTTATACTACTGAAGTTGATGATGTTTGTCGCAGTGATCAAATAATTACTTACACTTACTTACTTGGTCTATTAACCTACTTGGTTGGAGAATTGGTATCACTGCAGGCAGTACAATGCCATAGCTGCTCCTCCCTCCTCTCCAGGATCCATGAAAGGGATGGCTTGTTGATTGTGCCAGTTATGATCAAATAATTAAATTATTTTTTATTATCTATTTGTGGTGGCCGAATTTTGCTATTCAAAAGGCTTTTTAATGGTTGCATCGATCGACATGCGGTTTTCGCCAAAAGATTCTTTAAAATATTCTCCAGGTGATGACTCCCGCCGTTTTTTTCAGTTTTGAGACAATTTTGCTGCTAAAAGCTAAATTTCTTTATTTCGCCGATCGCTTTTGTAGGCTGACGCTTCTGTCTTTGTAATTTTAGAAAATCGGGCGCAGAAGTGATATTTTGCAAGGGGCATTTTGTTTTGAGAGTATAGATCTAGATCTAGATCTAGACCTTCCGATTTTTTTGCATCTCTCAAGATTTATTGCTGCATTCCAGTAGAGCATAAATATAATAGGCCAGTGACTTTCAGTTGATGTTAATGAACCGATCATTCATTTCATCGAAAGGGGGCCCAGCTAGTATTATTATTATTGATCAAACACTTAAAACTGAAGTCATGTTCCTATTTTATGCTAACATTGATGTATAATATGTACATGCTCTTCTATTGTTTCACCGACAAAATATTTGTTTTCTAATCAGCATTCTGGTGTAAGTGACCTACCTTGCTTTTATGTTTGAACTGACACAAATTGTGATTTATTGGCAAGTACTTGAAAGTGTGTTTTTTTGTTTCCTTTTTCTGTAGGCAAAAGACATGATTGGTGGAGATGATCATGATTATAAACCCCATGGGAAACTTCTGGGTGGAGATGATCATGATTATAAACCCCATGGGAAACTTCTGGGTGGAGATGACCATGATTATAAACCCCATGGGAAACTTCTGGGTGGAGATGACCATGATTACAAACCACATGGGAAACTTCTGGGTGGAGATGACCATGATTATAAACCCCATGGGAAACTTCTGGGTGGAGATGACCATGATTATAAACCACATGGGAAACTTCTGGGTGGAGATGACCATGATTATAAACCCCATGGGAAACTTCTGGGTGGAGATGACCATGATTATAAACCACATGGGAAACTTCTGGGTGGAGATGACCATGATTATAAAAAACATGGTGATGATGGCAAAGAGTCAAACTTGCTGGGCCAGGACAGGCATGACTTTATCCCTCATGGCAGTCACTGGAACGGTTTTATGAACAAGATTCGTGCGCACAAGAAGCCGACAAGGGGGCTCTGGCTTGGCTCTGGCCATCTACAGGCAGTGCAGCACATGAGCATTCTGGGAGGTGACACCCATGACTATGTGAACCATGGAACCTCTGAGTGCGCCAAGTACAAGGATGAATTTTTGAAGTTCAAGGCCACTTACAACCGCCTGTACGAAGGCCCTGAAGGTATGGAAGGTCATAGAGTGCATGCGTGGCTTATGGTGGTAATGTTGCCAGTCCCAGTGCTGGGGTGAGGGGAAAGGGGGGGGGGTGGAAGAGGAGGAGGGAGGGAGAATATACTGCCTTGATAAGCAGTCTGATGTGATTCTGACTAGCTTGTTATGCATGTGTATACCATCTCGCCTGATATATGTTTTTCTGGAAATTGGAAATTGAATATAAGTGTTCTTTGAATAGAGTATGTTATGAATTTGCAAAAGTAATTGTTCTCAACATTACAAGGGAGGACTTTTAGAGTATAATTGGTTGACAAACAACTTTTTGGTACAAAAGTGTTCACAAGTTGATCATGTGACATTGAGCAGATCTAATACAGTTTTATGAATGTTGTAGTTGTGAATGCCTCAGTAGAATGGGTACATTTAGTTGTAAGAAATTTGATAATGCTCCGTGTCTCTGTCCACAACAACCTGTGCCAAAACAGACTTTTGGGCATAGCTCTCCAGCTGTCGAGGAGAATTATTCCAGTAGTGTTACTTAGATGAAAACTTCAGGATGTTGCATGGTGTAGGAATATGTTGCTCTTCAAAGCCACTGTGTACAGGGATTTTGTATTGCTTATGATTATGCTATTACATAAGATACACAATTCTGTGTTGAGGATTACCCACAGTGCTGGGGAATTTTGCTGTTTGTCAGGATTGGGTAAAATGTTGTTGATTTTTCTCAGAGACCCAGAGGTTCCAAGTGTTCTGTGAGAACATGAAGAAGGTGGAGACGATCCAGAGTATGGAAAGAGGGACAGCCAAGTACGGTGTGACTCAGTTTGCTGACCTCTCTGGTAAGTGCTGTACCGTACTCTTCTCTTGATGACAGCCATTAGTTGTACCTTTCAATACAGTCAAACCTGCTCTAACAACCATATGTCTAAGACAATCACCTATACAAATGGAAACTTCCCATTCGTCCTTTGCATATTTTTTTTTTTTTACACAATACGAGTAATAATGACACTGTGTAAGAGGTCCCCCTGTCTAAGACAACACTTTACTCCTTGACAATTGATAGTTGTCTGAGACAATTTCGACTGTATTTCTATCTTTGTTACTGTGGAGGGCAGTATATGCAACAACAGCCTCCCCCCATATGTCTGATTCACCAACAATGTAAATGCTACTATCTTTCTTGTGCCTGTATGGTTCACAGATTTGATGCCTGCACTTCTAGATTCTACTCTCCCTATTATTGCATTCTGTCAAATAAATGTTTTTTTCTCCTTTGAGCAGTGAAAATGGTTAAACAATTCTGTCCAAATTGTCCAAGACAGCCACCCTTTGTCAAGGAGAAAAGTGGTCACCTTCGACAGTTGAACGTTTTGGACAATGCTTTTATACTATCTTTTTATATGCAAAGGGAAGTGGGAAGTGGTTGTTTGTGTTGGTGATTGTGTTGGTCAGGTGGCTTGTTGGAGCAGGCTGGACTATATTTGAAAGTTAACAAAAATTTTTTCATTGAGTTACAAACTAGATTAAAGTGAATTTTGTTCTTGAAACTTAGTTTTTGATGGTTGATTATGCCTTATTTTAGTTTGAGCTGAACTATCAGACACTCATTCCTTGTCTTGATCCTTGTTTGGAGACAGTAGTGTGGTAATTGTGTTTTCTATTTCAATTCCAGGAATATAATTTTTTTCTCCAGTTGTGTAATTATGAATTTTCATGGACATGAAGTCCTAGGTCCAGTAATACTAACACAACCATAGTGCAGCTACAATTTCTGGTTTGTCTGTTCCTGAGATGGCCCTCTGTGTTCACAGAGTGGGCATGCTAATATCACTGAACGAGCCCCTCTGTTTTATGATTACTCCAGAGGAAGAGTTCAGCAAACAGTACCTTGGCTTGAAACCAACCGCCCCAGTAAGACAGCTGCCCATGGCCAAGATCCCAGATGGACCTATTCCTGAAAGCTGGGACTGGAGGAAGCATAATGCGGTCACTCCCGTCAAGAATCAGGTGCCTATCTTTCACCTCTCTCACCCCTCTCATCTTTAGCTGCCATCAGTCCTAAGAGCTGGACTTTCTTGCCACTCTTTAAGTCTTTAATACATTTTTTTAAAAGACTCTTTTTAAAGAATTGGACTCCGCAATCCATTAACTTTCATAAAATACACAACAAATGTGTTTCAGAGTGCGGGTAGTTTTGATGGGTTCTCGTGGAATCCTCTTTGCCTTCTTCTTTTCTGTGCTTTGTCCAACGACTCTACTTTTGATAACAAAAATGTCAAACTAATAAAATTTGTGGATGATTCCACTCTACAAGGCCTTATAACCATAAATGAGAATGAATACAGGGACACTGTAAATCTATTTACAAATTGGTGTGATAACCGCTTCCTTTTACTAAATGTAAAAAAGACAAAGGAATTAATAAAGGACTTTAGAGTAAAAAAAGACAATTGCAACCACTATTTATTAAAGATTAGGAGGTGGAGGTGGTAAGCTCTTACAAATATCTTGGTGTAACAATCGATAACAAACTTGACTGGCATCCCCACGCTGCTCCTGTGCATAAAAAAGTAAATCAAAGAATGTTTCTTTTAAGGAAATTAAGAAATTTCCATGTTTACACTAAGATTATGTCCCTTGCTTACCATTCTATGATTGAAAGTGTGCTATTATTTTGTGTTTGCTGCTGGGCTGGGAATTGTAAGGTGAAAGATAAAGAAAAATTTGACAGAAGCATTAAGAAAGCCAGCAAGATCTCTGGATATGATTTTAATAGAATGGATGAAATGTATAACACCACACGTATAAAAAAGATAAAAAGCATTATAAACGACCCATCACACCCGATTTCCACACAAATTGTAAGATCACGCAGCGGCAGATATGTACCTCCAAAAACAAAGAAAGAAAGATATAAAAGAAGTTTTTTACCATCTATCATAAGGCTTTTGTCAGAATGAGCATAAATGTGTGCTGCTCTTAGAGTATGTATCTATATATAACTCCAAAGGTCTTGTATTTAAATTCCTTCATGTGTTTGAATGATGCATTTGATGTAAATGTACATTTTGTCAGCTTTACTTCTCTTTTCAAATTGAATTTTAATGATAGTAATATACAATAAAAATTTTTTATGTATACCTGCATGTGTTTTTACGGTCGTGTACAGCCAAGAAAAATTTCCCTGTGGGATAATAAAGTATTATCTTATCTTAATTTAATTAAATTTATCTGTTTCTAGAGAAATGTTGCTGCATTGCCAACTTTTTGTAGGTCAACAATAAAATCAATGCTCATTTATATACAATGGAAACCTGATATAACAGGGATGGTGGGACCAGAGAAAAAGTCCTGTTATATCCGATCCCTGTAAAATCAGAAACGCAATGGAAGTAAGAATTTTGTGGACTAATCCAGCTGTATTCATATCTAGTTTCCCTTGCCACAAGTACCCTCGAACAGGGGTTTTGGCCATTGGCAGGCCTGCGCATGACAATTTACGCGTGCGTGTAGCTTGGCTAAGGGCTAGAAGACTAAAGTCTGCAGCACACCGCAGCCCTCTCTCACTTCATCCGATGCGTGTGCTTGCAGCAGTAGCGTAGCTTGCGGGGGCTTGCTCCATCACTGCGTTACTCTCCCTCTCTCTCTCTCTCTCTCTCTCTCTCTCTCTCTCTCTCTCTCTCTCTCTCTTTCTCTCTCTCTCTCTCTCTCTCTTTCTCTCTCTCTCTCTCTGTCTCTCTCTCTCTCTCTCTGTCTCTCTCTCTTTCTCTCTCTCTCTCTCTCTCTTTCTCTCTCTCTCTCTCTGTCTCTCTCTCTCTCTCTCTGTCTGTCTCTCTCTCTCTCTCTCTCTCTCTCTCTTTGTCTCTTACTTTTTACACATTGTTAACGAGTCTTTGTCCCTGCTATAACCGATTGGGCTCTCATGATGCCTGTTATTGCCGATAATTTTTAATAGAGACAAAGAGTAAGAAAAAACGGATTTTAAAAATCCCTGTTATTACCGGTTCCCTGTTATTACCAGGCCTGTTATATATGGTTTCCACTGTACATACAAACTAGTCCATGTTTGCTGCTTGCGTTGCCCCTTCTATCTTTCTTTCCATTTTTCTTTTTGATTTTCTGTAGACCATTGAGTTGAATATAGACCATCTTCTAAATAAACTTTATTTGTCTTGTGGACTAGGCTAGTAAAATTCAAGCAATACAAAAATAAAACAAATGGTTATGTTTTGTATGTTGTGTGTCATGCGTTACATATCATAGGTTGTGTGGTGTGCATTTTGAAAGCTGTGTGGTGTACTGTGTTTTATAGGTTGTACTATGTGTCATGTTTATGTGTCATGTGTAGTATGTGATGTTCATGTGTGATGTGTAATGTTGTGTATTGTGTGTTCCAGGGTTCCTGTGGCTCTTGCTGGGCATTCTCCACCACTGGCAACATCGAGGGTCAGTGGGCCATTCAAAAGAACAAGCTGGTCTCTCTCTCAGAGCAGGGTTTGTACATTCTTCTCGTGCTCCTATGTGTATGTGTGGGTTATTTGCAGGTCCTCGGGGGTGCTCCGGGGTGCTTTGCTCCTTCGTTCCTATAGAATATCTATCATCCTATCTAGCAACACCTCTAATCTTCAACACCTCTATTTGTGTTGGGCGTGCGTTAATACTCTTATTGAAAACTAAAAGCTTAACTATCTGTATGTGGATATGTATGCATACCGTGTGTGTGGTGTATGTCACAGGTATGAGATTCTTGCAGAAAGTCCTTGTTATTGCATATATGAAACGAGTAATTTAGTTTGAGTCTTGAACTGTGATGTGCTCCTATGTTGTATTGTCAGGTATGAAATTACATGAGGCATTAGTAGGACTTGAACATGGACTCGCAATCTTATCTAGTGGGGGGGGGGGGGGGTGATTTGGGTTGATTTTGAAAAATGTTTCTGTGTCTGGTTGGCATGTTGTTCTAAGTGGGTGACTCCGTCATTTATTGAGGTGTGTACCTGGTGTCTGTGCATATGTGTATTGTTGGGGTTTTTTTGTTTGAAATTAAAAAAAAAAAATTGTTTTTAATTTTTGTCTGGGGTTGCCACTGGCTGGTCCTGCTGCTTTTTCCCTATTGTTTTGTTGTTTCTGTGTCTGTCCATGGTACTCTTTTGCAAACACTGAATAACTGTTTTTGATTAGCATCAGAGTGTTTCATCTGAGCTCAAGCAAATTTCTCTTCTTTCATTGAGTTTTTGCTCAATGAAAATTGTTTTATGTACCTGTATTTTGATGCCTTGAGTTGCTAATTGTGTTATAGATGCTGTAACATTCTATCCCTCACTCTGTGTTTATTCCTCTATAGAACTGGTTGACTGTGACAAGTTGGATGAAGGCTGTAATGGTGGACTCCCTTCAAATGCTTATGAAGCCATCATGGGCCTTGGTTAGTTTTTAACTTTTCTTTTTGGATATGTCATTCTGTGAAGTAAGTAAGCTTGCAGAAATCATAGGATTTAATTCAAAGTAAGCTTGCACTAATTATACTGATGAATTTGAATTATTCACCAGGGAAAGAAAAGTGACTTTTATCATAGATCTTGGTTGGATTCCTTTCTAGAATTTGTTCAATTCTTATTTAGAAAGTGTTGTTTTGGGTGTTTCTCTTACTTCCGAGTAGCATTTGAAACAAATTGACCCAGAATTAGTGTTGTTTATTAAGTGGTCAAGGAAGATATGGAAGAAAGTATGTTTGTCCTTTTTGTGATGTTGTTCATGTTTATGAAGTCAAGAATGTAAACTGGAATTTAATTAAGAAACAAAAATGTCAATTTAAACTTGTCAGTTTGTATATTAGACAATTGGAGACAAATTAAAGATCTGAACATCCCAGTTAGAATTTGTGCGAGTGAAACACGAGTTTGGAAGGGGGAGCAACACAATGCATGGTTTACCTATAAAATCTCAAAGGAATCTCCTCATTGTGAGTTTTTCACCTTCTGCAGGCGGTATTGAAACGGAAGGAGAATACAAGTACGAGGGCCGTGATGACAAATGCAGGTTTGACAAGTCTGAGGTGGCAGTCAAGCTGACTGGAGCTGTCAACATTAGCAAGGATGAAGCAGGTGAGAGAAGCAACTAATTTTTGAACTTCCACCTATCACCCACACTCACTTCCTGTTGAGACATTGGGATGGAAAAGATGTTTTCTTAAATGTTTATATATCCCTTACTTTGGTGTGTATTAAATTAATGTTCATAAATCCCTTATTTTGGTGTGTACTAAATGTTTATAAATCCCTTATTTTGGTGTTTACAAAAATATGTTTATAAATCCCTTATGTGGTGTGTGTGTGTGTCGTCTTGTTCCTGTAGAGCGAGGTCAGCTGTTCTCAGGTTGTGATCCTTTATCTGTCTATTGAAAATGGTTTAAAGCTACAAGCATGCTGGGGGTTTAATCTTACGGTAATTGAAGATATTGTATAGGAATGTGAGGTGGAAAGTGGTAGTCTGTGCCATGGGTAGCATTGTTAATCGATGGTGAACTGTCTTAATCGCATGAACAGGATTTGTATTTGTAGCTCTTGGCAGATGATATGGAAGCAGCTAAATTCTCTGTAGTGCTAGTAGAAAAAACTTTACAATGATCTCGTGGTTTGTGTCATTCCAGAAATTGCTGCCTGGCTGTATCACAACGGCCCCATCTCCATCGGTATCAATGCCTTCGCCATGCAGGTAGGTACACAGGATGTGTATATTGCACAGGAGATGCCTTTCCTGTCCTTGCATGTGGCGAAGTTGTGGTGTTGCGTAGAGAAATTTGATGTGGTTAGCAAGATTTTTTCTGTTGGTTTTTTTTGCTAGCCCTCGTCCACCACAAAACCTGACGGGGCTTGGTGTTTCTGCTTGTACTAATCATGATGAGTTGGTTGATTTCCTTCGGGTTCAACAAATTGTAATGGTGTGATTGTGTTTGAAAGTTTTGAGTGTTCATTTATGAGGGAATGTGTATATGAAGAATGTCATTATGAATTAATTTAGCTTCATATTACATAATTTTGACTCTTCAACCAGATGGTACGTTAATTTTGTAAGATATGACCGTGTCTTGCAAATTGATGTAGATTTTGAATATGGAGTTCCTTGCTTTATTTCTAGTGATTGTATCATGTGACCACTGCTGTTCTGATTTTTTTTTTTTTTAGTGTTATATATAATATCTCTGGCTTGCAGCTTCTCCTTAGTAGACCCACAGGGCACCTTATTTCTTGTTACAGCTGGTAGTAGGACGTTTTTCTCTGTCTAATGTGTTGTCTTTTGCTTTGATAACCGAAATTCTCACTTTGAAACATTGTGTTTAAATGCTGTATTTTTTACCTTCCACAACAGTTTTACTGGGGTGGCATTGCTCATCCCTGGAAATTCTTCTGCAACCCCAAGAGTCTTGACCATGGCGTGCTCATCGTTGGTTATGGAGGTGAGTGGTCAATGGGGACTGTGAAGGGCTAGAAATCTTTTTGTCAAGAATATTCTGATTATACATATAACAAAATCTGTCTCTTTTGAAGCAGGGAGTTATCGCAAAACACATTTCTGTACTGTGTAGATTGTACTGAAATTTTTTTTATTACATTACATGCAAAAAAAAAAATGTAAATTTTCACTTTCCAATTTCTCTCAAACAATGGAAGTCGCCAAATTTGGTGGCCATTTTCTTGCTTATTTTACCTCTGAAACAAGGCGACCCCCCACCTCCTTCAATCGCAAATCTCTCAACTTCTATTCAAGATAGATGAGTTTTTTAAAAATCAAAAGCAAGACAAGTGAACAAGCTTTATGATAATACCCATAACTTCATGTGCCATTGAATTGACGAGTGTCTGATTCCAACGTGTCATGATACATGTAGTTTAATTCTTCTTTGTTTTTTTCTTCCTAGTTTTGATAGAAAAATAATAGGTTCCCAAGTCAGGGTTTTGATTTTGGGCACTCTTTTTTTGTTTGATTTTCTCAAAACTTCAAAGAATGATTGACACGCTATTTGGATGATGCTTATGTTTAAATGTTATTCTCTCTTTCCGTGATTATAAATGAGTTGGACCTATCAAAACGTACTGTACAGCAACTGCTAGGATTGTTAGGAATAATTGCTTAGAGTTATGTGCAAACCTTAATTATTGTATTTTATTCAAGTTTGGGTTTCATTTCAGTGAGTAGCAATTCAAATTTTGTGCGTTATTTTGTGAGTTTCAGGTTAGTTACAAGAAAAGGAAAGTAGATGTGGCTTTTTTTTTTTTATTCTCTCGTGCCCAATCCTAACAGATTGATGGCATCTGATAAGTATAACATTGTGCAGGTGATAAATGTTAGCTGCAATAGTCAGCACATGTTTATGATAATGTTAGATTTGTATTTGGTAAACTGTTGTGATGCTGATGATGTTGTTGGTGGTGATGAGGTTGATAGAGTTACTGCATGGATGTGAAGAAAGAACATACTTCTTAATTTGAAGTAGAAGATCCTTAAAAGGTTAATAGAAAGAAACACTTAAATTTCAGATCATGTTTCTTGAAGTTATTGCTAGTCCTGGCTCTACAATTTTCAGTGCTTCTACGGTTAAATTGTCCACCTCAGATTAATAACTTAAATCAAAAGACAACATACTTTGATTTTGAAAAAGAGATATGATCCCATTCATTTTTTTTATTCCAGTGGAGGATAATGAGCCTTACTGGATCATCAAGAACAGCTGGGGCCCGAGCTGGGGCAGAGAGGTGAGTGTAAGATAAAACGTGTGTGTGTGTGTGTGTGCGTGCGTGTGAGAGAGAGAGAGAGTATTGTTTCATGGATTGGAAACATGAAAACTGACAAAGCAAATCATAAACAAATGTGGGGCGTGGTGACAAAATGAGTTATTTCTCGCAATGCATAAATCGATAAATAGGCCAAAAATCGACACTAGGGTCAAATTTGTAGATTTTCTAGTCTTTTCTATTGATACCATGTTCTTAAACTATAACATCCCTTTTATTATTTTATTTTACAAATTGTAAAAACTTCAGCTATAAGTTTGATGTATCTATTTCCATCAGGCTTGAAGCCGAGAAGTAACTCAATTTGTCTGCACGCTTCACAAATGGTAGTCCTTCATTAATGGTCACCTGAGGAATATCATGAAAACCCACTGGCCAGACACCATTGTCATTTGTTTTCTTGTCTGTTATGAGATTTTGGATGGTGAATGGTGAAGGATGCTAGCGGTACCATTTAAGTCCTATTTCTTCTCTATTTTTCTGTCATTTGAGTGTGTTTTATTTTCTCTCATCACTAAGAGTAAGACTGCCTTTACATCTTTGTGTTCAAACTCAAATAGTTTTAGCTCACCACCTCTTTATTGACAAGCTGTTGTTATTTTTACAATATGTCTTGGATGTTTTCGATGAATTGTTGTTTTGTATAATTTGTTATGGAATCGTTTTTTGTTGCCGTATTGTTGATATGCTTTTAGTTTCTTGTTGTTTTGTGAGTTTTGAGTATGTGGTTTGCTTCTTCTTTCGTATAAAACATCTATCGTCCTTATCTGTCCTTTTTTTCTTAGTATGTTACTCTCTAGTGACACCTCTAATCTTCGGCACTTATATGACCTTTTTGCAAGTGCTCTAAAATGCTTATTAAGGCTAAAACAATGTTTTGTGGAATTTTTTGTGTTGTTGATGGGTGGTTGAAGGACACGACTGACAGATTCTATTTGTTCTCTTTTTCTTTTGTTGTCTCTGACTTTGTTTTATTCTTTCCCTGGAACAAATAACAGTTATTGTGTCAATGTGCTTCTCTTTACTCAAACATACAACCCCCCCCCCCTAGGCGGTGCCACTGACTGAAATGTCTTTAGGCCATTCCCAAAGGGGGGACATTAACTTGTTCTTATGCACAGTAGAATTCTAAATGGGCTGATTCAACAATGTCATGCTCATAACTGTGCCTGAACTGCAACAGGGAACTGCTGCTTTTTCTTTCCTATCGTCATTGTGCCTCTACTTCTTTTGTATGTTTGTCACACTCTTGTGACCCGCCATTTCTGGGGTGCCTTGATAGTCAAAGCAGACTTTGTGCTGTTGAAGCTAGAGAGGTGAGCAGAGTAAGCCTGATTCCCTGTAAAGACTTCTCTTTTGACATCCACCCCTTGGCGCTCATATGATCTTATGCAGTTGCGAGTGCCGTAAAACCTCATCTAAAGTAAACAAACAAAACAAACTAACGAACAAGCTGATGTCTTTTACATTTATTATTGCTTTGTGTTCCTCAGGGCTACTACTATGTTTACCGTGGCGACGGGACTTGCGGCCTCAACACCATGTGCACCTCTGCTACAGTAGAGTAGGGAGCATACTCATCAGTGCCATGCCTTCAGCTGTTGTTTTTTCGCCCTCTGTGGCTCTGATTTTTTATTTAGTTCCTTTTATGCTTTTCGTTTGTATATATTCATAAGTGTATTATTTTGGCCTTTGTTACTCTGATTTTCTCTTTCGTTCCTTAAAGTTTTTCATTTGTATACATTCTTATGTCTTTTATTTCGCCTTTTGTGGCTCTGATTTTCTCTTTCGGTTCCTTTAATGCTTTTATTTTGTATAAATTCATATCTTATTTCTTTTTGATTTGATCACTGCTTTTGTCTTATTCAGAGATAAGGTGAGTGGGGAAAAAACGTGGGATGCAATAGTGATATCATTTCCCCTTAGTGTATGTGTTTGTCAAGTCCAAAAGATAGATTGAATCCAATTACAACATTTTCAATATCTGGATTTTAAAATGAAGGAAAGGAGAAACTTTGGAAGCGATAAATTTTTATTGTTGTTTTAATACGAGTTGTCCGGCTCTTGCAACATAATAATATCATGTAAGTACCAAAGGCTAGAGATGTTAGTTGTTTCAAGAGAGTAACAAACACAACAGAGATGGAGATATAAAGACGATAGATGTTTGATGAGAAAGAAAACGCAAATCACACCAGAGCACCTGTTAATCACTCAGAAGAAATGAATGCTGCTTTTGTAATTGCCAAATCTTCTGAGTGAATGATGGAGTACATTGCTTCCTGTTTGCCAGCCAGGTATATGGCTCGAAGTTACAATATCAAATTCAGCGACAGTGAATTTTTGTTATCCGGAGAATTAAAAAGTTTGCAGAACTAGCTTTGCAAGACAGTCAAACATGGATAATTTATCTTTAAGAAAAGCCTGTAGGTTTTGGTTTAAGGCGAGACATCTACTGTTTGGTTGATTTGTTGTCATATTCGGACCTCATAAGTTTTCCCAACTGAGCGTTTTGAGATTAACCCTGTAAGTTCTATTCTATCCATTTTATCTCTGTGAGGTTTATCTCACGGTTTGTGAGCTTAGCCTACTAAGCTTTGCAAGCTTAACCATCTAAGCTCTCTAAGATTAAGCTCTGAGCTCTGTGAGGTTAAATCACCAAGCTCAGGTAGTTGAATCACTAATTTTATGGAATGATCACTCTTAATTTGAAGTTCTGAAGAGTCAGAACCATTGTGTCACTTGTTAAGTCTGATATCAAGCTCTCTTGGTCCTGTGGGGACAAGGGAGGAGATAAGATGGTGACGTGATGAGACATGCACTAAGCCTCAGCTGAAGCTGTTGGCCTCCAATTGACAGGTGACCCCTGAAGCAGGTGTATTGGGGGGGGGGGGAGGTGTAAGGGGGTGGACAAGGGACATTATGGTAGCCCTGTGGAGTTTCGAGGTTAAGAGGAGAACGGGATGACTCATCCCTGGGCTCTAGGAGCTCTAAGGCATCTGAATTCAAGGTGAATAGAAGTGCCCCCCCCCCCGTTCTACATTGTGTGCTTTGTTTAAGTGAACAGAGTGCAGCATCAGCTGATGTCAATAGCTCGTGTACAAAAAAAGACTTATGTAGTGGGTGCTTGCATTTATTATGCTCGAGACTTCGGATATGGGATCAGGGTCATGTGTATGTCTGCTGGCCTTTGTAGAATAGTAAGGACAATACGCAATGTGGTTCTCTAGCCTGAAAAAACAAAACAAAAAACAAAAGCATTTCTCTTGAGGCGCATTGTTCTGCTGGTGATAGTACATTCTATCCACCGTGCTTACATGAAAATGAAACGAGCTCGAATATTAGAATTGATTTAGTTTCTGTTACTAAAAACTGAATAATACAAAAGCAATCTCCTGTTTCAAAGTACCGATATTTTTTGTAATGTATGTATCATGCACAAAAGATCAGATGGCAAAGCATGCCCTATTGCTTTCTGACTTCTTTAAAAATTAAGAATGTTTATCAAAATTGTTTTATGTGAAAACCACTCATGAAAATGATTATATTGTCTGTTTTTGTGCGTGTATAATACTGTTATTGCCTGAATAGTACAGCTGAACTTCTACCTCCATTTTTAATCTCATTTTGAAATTTTGTTGGTATTTCTAGCCGTCACGTTTCGTTAAATTATACTTGTGCTGCAGTTGGAGAACTTTGCCTTGTGCTGAGAAGTCAGTACATGTATATGAAGCTAATAAACTCTTCTGTGCTGTTGAAAGGTTTGAGTAACAACAATCTTTGTTTAATAACACAATGAAGCTTTCGTAAGTGGGTTTTTTTTTCACTTTTATCTGAGAATTTTTCTTGAAAACAAGAAGTTAAACTTTCCCATTGAAACAGACGTTGGTCTATCAAGTGTTGGGTTATCCTGTTGTCTTATGTCAGCTGGTACTTCTCATGGCGGGATTTCCCACCCACTCCCTTTGTCTTGTTGTTGCTGCTACTGTCGGGGACCACCAAGAGCTCTTGGCCACTGTTACGACCTCAGCTCGGGGAAAAGCTTATCTCGGTCAACTTCTTCTGTAATCTCGGTTCACCTCTTCAGTCATTCATTCTAATCTCTCCTCTCAAGATCTGAAATTGTTTTTCTGGGTGACTGATTGTCTCAACCATTTTAGGCAAAATTGTTTTTGCACCTGCAATCTCAATCAAGTTCCTTATGTTGTCAATGTGAGGTAAAAGTTCTTTGATAAGTAGATCTGTTGTTTTGGCCCCTGTTCAGATAATTCTGCTGTCAGTCTGGTGCACATAGAATATTATGTCATCAGATTTGAATTTGAGTTTGTTAGTGTCAGCAGTATTTTTGTTTGTGTACTGTGTCCACAAGTCCCATCAATATAGTGTGTGTCTTTGTTGGGTGTTGTTGTTGTTTTTAAAATGTCTTATGACGTATCATGTCATGTATAGTATTTAGTAAGAATATGCATACTGCTTCTTCTACTCTGTCAGATGAGATTTTTTTGGTTTGTGTTAGTAGAATTTGTGTGTTTGTCTGTGTTACTTCATGTGTTCCTGTAAAAGTTCGTGCTTCCCTTAAATCCCTTTTTAGCTGCTTCTGACCCTTTTTTAAGTTCAGTATGCCCTGAAGTTTTGAATTACAATGCACAAAACGAAAAAAACCTGTGCTGCTAGACATCATATGTTCTATCTACTGTCATGTGGTGTGCACTTTTGCCTTGTGGGTTGTCTGGGCTCGTGGGTTCTCTATTTGTTTTGATGTCCCAGATTTTAACATATAGGCCTATATGGTTTTAATTACTCAATGTATAAATATACCAGTCTTTCATGGCATTTTGATTTAGTCAGGGTGTCGTCTTTTGCTCTTCATTAGTTTGTACAATGGTCATGTGGAAATTGTGTTAAGTAAATTATACTTAATCATTCACATAAATCTTTCTCGGCAGGCAACAGCTGTTTGACAAAAGTATGTTTTGGAGTACATGTATATTGTCGTTTTCATGTTTTGCCCCCCGTGCTTTGTTTGGGAGGTGCCTTCTCTGCATGCATTTGGAAAAGAGCTATGGATTTTCGAAAATGGTCCATATGAATTTATCAGGATATTTCACGGAATAAAGAAAGATCATTCCAAATTCATATATTCCTTGTTCAGTCATTTTTAAGCAGTAAAAGTTTGTCCTCATGCACAGGTGCTCGCAACTGTAAAACCTTATACTATACATACTATACAGGTTCATACATGTGACCATTTATGAGTGGCACTGGCGGTTTCTTATATAGTCAGTGCACAAAATCGGACTCAGGTGGGGCCAGCCAGATTTTCCTTCATGACTAAGACAAAAGCTACCATTGTGGGACAATAGGCTGAATTCGATTCATGACCTTGAAAAACAAATTACGTGTTTGATCTTGAGGATCACAGTCAAATTTCGTTGAATTCAGTTGTATTGTATTTGTACCAAAGTGGTAGCTTTTGCCCCATCCGTGAAGGAAAATCTGGCCGGCCGCGACTCGTTCCCATGAATCCCTAGCTACTAACTAGGCTACAGACTCCCTACGGTGAATGACATATATGCAGTTTTTTTTTCTTTTCTTTTTTTCTTTTTTTGGGGGGGGGTTAAGAAAAAAAAAGAAGACGTGACACTGTTGAGAATAGGAGCACGACTGGCGAGACCAAGAGGCACAATCGCTACGTTATTGATAGTCCATATTTCTAAAATAACTTACCTGTTCTTTGAAAGGACATCAAAGATCCATCGTTCATATCTGTCCTCCTTTTCTTTGTATGTTACTCTTTAGTAACACCTCTAATCAGCGGCACTTGTACAACCTATTTGTGCTGCAAAGGCTGTAAAAGATCTTATTAAACATTAAACAAACAAACACAAAAAAAGAAGAAAACGAACACCACCCCACTCCTAAAAAACAAAAACAAAAAACAACCAAAAACACCAATCTGTGCAGACTGAAACATTTCATGTCGATAGCATCAGTGACGGGACAACATTAATAAAAAGTGATGATCTCAACCTCAACCCGCCTTGACTATCGCTTTTTCAGTGATAAAGTCTAGGTCTAATCGTTACTCGTCACTTGAAATGATAACTGAGCAGGGAAAACCGAAACAAAGTCCCCCGGTCGTGCTGGATCCAGAACAGAATGTTGGATGAGTGTACACCAAGGAGATTAAAAGTAATGGAGGATGCTCTGTGGGCGGCACCGCACGCCTGATAGGAGCCCTCTCTCGCGGCGGAACTGTGGTCTACCTGCGCTGAGCGAATGCCCGACTTACGCACTGAAATCTAGATATAAGAAAGAAGGTTTTATTCCGAGGTCCTTGAGATTAGGCAAGTCAATTAGTAAAAATGCCTTGCATCTGTGTTGTATTTAAGTGTAAGAACCGATATGATGCTGCAGTGGACCGAAGTTTTCACAGTTAAGTTGTTTCCCGTTAAAAAAATTTGAATGAAAGTGTTTTTATGCCCCCAGCAACACAATTAGTTCTAAACTCCTTGGTGTACACCCTTTACAAGAATTAACCGCATTATTTACGAAATTAACAAATTACTGTATGTGTCAGACACAACTTTACTTGAATCCGTGACGTCAGCTTTGATTGTTGGCAGCTAAGGCTAATTATTGACTGTGTGTCGGTCACCGAATTCCCGCTTCTCTCAGGTGAGACAGCTGGCTATTTATACTCGTACTCGTATATTATTATACACAGCATGCGTATATATTACTTGAATCGCGTTTAGTCACCAACAAAGCGCTTATCGCAACTTTCGTGGGTCGTAGTTGGCCTCCGTGACACCGATGTCCGCACGTACTACTTGAAGTACTGCGACGTGGTGCACTTTTACTTAACCGAAAACGTGGACGGTCGTTGTTATCTTTCGACTTCTCCATGTTTTTAAAAAATTCCTCATTGAGGATTTGGGTAGTGCTCAGTGTTAAGAGTTTGGCACCCCCCCCCCCTTTCCCCCCTTTAAAAAGTCTTCTTGTGAACAGTTTAAAAGTCATGTATTATTCTTCATCAAAAATTGATGTCTACGTAGCCCAATTACTTTTCAGAAAATTTGTTATTTTGCTATAGCTATTGTGCTTTTGGTAACAATTTGTGGGCTCAAAGGTGAACTTTATTAAATCTTACCGATTTTCTCATTTTGGGAAAACGAAAGGCCCCCATCGACGCAATATTTCAGATAATTTAGGTGGCGGGCTTCGACTTTGCCTGTCAGGGCCAACCTAGACTGAGAGGGATACAACCACTGACCTAAAAATACAACGCTCCAGCAGAAAGATCGAGATACTTGATAACATTTTTTTCTCATACAGGAATCAAACTCGGATTTCCTTCATGTGACGGCGAAGCGCCTAACCTAACCGCTCCACCACAGGCGCTGGTCCCTCCTTTCTGACATTCTCATTTCACGAGTGGGCCTCTTTGTCGGCGCATGCGCAGCAGCAGCAGTCAACAAGATGGGGGACACGTCCTACACATCGTATCCCCGAGAGTAGGGTCCGTGTCCTAGTAGCCAGTCACTCTCGAGGGCTGGCCCTTGACCTTATAAATAATCAATGGAGAAACGGAAGCAAACCCTCATCATTCTCAATGGCTTTATTTTTCACTCTGACACCCCTCGTAATCTCCGCTACCCACGCCTCTTTTTTTCAAATTTGATTTCTAGAGAACTTGTTAACCCTGATTGGTGTTGGGAAGATTTTATGGTTCTTCACCCTCATTTGGCTTGGTCCTATCGGAGGTGGACGTTATATTCGGAGGAGCCCATCTCTTGCACAACATTAGGCCCTACAGCGTCGAAAGGGGCATTATTTCATTATAGGCCCCCTACATGTATTTACATGACAAAACAAAACGAGCAGTGAACCAACTTGATATGTAGTAGTATACCGTACAATCTTAGAATTGTGCATACCAACTTTGGTATTTATGAAATGTTCAGAACGCCCTACAGAGCACCCAATAAATAAATAAATAAATAAATAAATAAATAAATAGTCGTGACGTGCTACCAGGGTCCATGGACCAACATTTGAGAACTCGCTCCCTTCGGATAATTCGGACGATTATATGGCCAGTCTGCATACCGGTATCTGTGGTAGGACTCGATTTCGATACCCGATTGGGGAGAAGTTTGATCGAGTATTTCGATTTTTCTTTCTACTGGGATATTGTATCCCTTTTAGTCTGGGCTGTCCCTAAATGACAACGTCGAAACCTGTCTTTCGAATTACATGTACCTTAATTATGTTGATGGAGGCGTAAAATCACATGCTTAAAAAAAAAGAAGAAAAACTATACCGCCACAAGGTCAGTTCGGAAACGGCTGAGAGAGGCAATTCCCACACTGGACGTGAAGACATCCCGTGATGAAAAGGGGGGGGGGGGTCGGGGTGTTATCTCTGGAGTTTATGGTCCGGGATTACCGATGTTTGTCCATCACTGAGGGTCAGAAGATAGGGAATGTTGACCTGGGCTATATATTGGACGCTGGCCATTTTGGGGGAAGTTTAAAATTTCAGGTTGACGAGAAAGAAACAGGTGAGTCGTTTTGGTTGTTAGTAATGTAAGGGAATTATTATTAATGCCATCTTAATAGTTACTCTTTCTTATTAATCTTATTCATAGTATAGTACTTGTGTGTTCTTAATGTGACGTCCGTATCGTCATCGATTGTTCTGTTGTAGTTAGACTGTGTTCTACAATGTAATTACACGAATGTCTGCTTATGCTTTAGCATAAACTTAAGGGCGTATGTGTACGTATGTTCATGCACGTGCATTTTGTTTCAAAATGAAGGTGTTGTAAAATGCCAAGAGCTGAGTTGCACGGGGATGGGCGATATTGAAATTATCTACCTTATTATTTTTATCATTATTAACATTAGGTGCCCCCATTATGGTGGATGCTGATGGGGGCTTATTGTAGTACTTATAGTGACTTGCTTCAGACCCGGCTAAATATTTTTTTGGTCTTTCTTTTCTGAGATTAGAGACTACACTTTTACCTTATCTAGTAGAAAGCTCGGCTGTAGTGCGGATGACAATGGTTCAAAGCCCCAAGTGACGTTTTGTGATATAGGATATTTGAGGACTTTTCATGGCTCTCTAGGAGGAATAGATAGGTCTTATCAGAGATGGGTTTGAATCATAATTACTATAACCAGAGGAATCATAATTACTATAACCAGAGGCTCTGCCCCCCCCCCCTCTCCACGAGATAAAGTCATACCAGAGAGTCTCTGGTCATACGCAGGTAGACAGTAATACTGTCATCTACTTAATTTGAGATTTGGAGTTATGGCAGCCTATATCTTCAAAGCAAATTTTCTTTTCATTCAAAGCCATCAGATCTCTCTTGGTCTAATTACGTTGCCTGAAATAAAGCGACTTAAAATTACCGTGTGATTCATCGTTTTTCTGCACACATTATTTCTAGCAGATGTGACGCTTTTGCATTATACATGTATTCGCACTTAGAAACCGAATGTTTGTCACTCCCTTTCCTGGAACCTGCCCGCCCATCCCCTTCATGGTCCCAACACACCATTCAAAGAAGACTCAATTCTTGACTGTGCTCAGACCTCTTTAAAAAATATAGGCCCGTTGCTTTATCGGCAAGGTCTTGAATATGTTATAGTTACTGTTAAAATGGTAACATGTTTATGTGCGTATCACGAAGAACAAATACAAGGGCTGTCAGAAAATATTATTGTTAAATGTTAAGCGATAATTGTCTTCTATTGTTATCCAATAATTATTACTACGGAGTTATCGTCTCATAAGGACATAATCGTCATCGTCGGCTTATCCTGAAGGGCATGCCACACTTGCCCGTTGTACTGAAACTTTGTCATTGCTTAGTCATGAAATGTTTTTAAAAAAAATACATGTATTATGTATAAGAATAACATTATGATGGCAATGTAAAAAATAATGATAATAATAACAATAATATAATAATAATACTGATATAATGATGATGATAATAATAATAATAATAATAATAATAATAATGATGATGATAATAATAATAATAATAATAATAATAATAATATAATGCTCTATGCGCCCTACAATCTGCATTATTACCACTAGAAGACACGAGAACA